GGCCAATACGGTGAAACCCTGTCTCTACTAAAAATACAAAAAATTAGCCGGGTGTGGTTGGCATGTGCCTATAACCCCAGCTACTTGGGAGGCTGAAGACAGGAGAATTGCTTGAACCCAGGAGGAGAAGTTTGCAGTGAGCCGAGATTGTACCACTGCATTTCAACGTGGGTGACAGAGCAAGAGTCCATCTCAAAAATAACACATGTGATATACTCCATCAGAGCACCCCATTGCACTCCCTTGAAATATGCATGGTACATAATAGGTACTCATGGAGTTCCTCTTCGATAGGGAGGGGATTGGGGTTTAGCTGCTGTTTTCTAACATCAGAGATTACTAAGTCTATAGGGTTTGTCTCCAATGCCTCCACTTGCCGTTTTGATGCATAGATAATAAGCTTGTGAGCTCCCTGAACAGCAATTACCTGATGGGTAATTCCTCCCAAATGTGAATCGTAGGAAGCTAGACTGGGCATTGTGGCTTCTCAATCAAACTGACTCCAGGATCAAAGGCAAGGAAAAATAAGGAAAACTCGACTCTGCTCTGTGACTGTTCCCTGCTCAATATTGTATTTGCAATTTACATATTCCATAAGCAGTGGAAATGCCTCAACCATTTCTTGAAGGAAATGGAGGTCTGTGAAACTGCACGTGCCCCCTAGCAAAGATAAATAATGCATAGAGGGGGAGACATGGGGTCTTCTTGTTTACTCAACCACAAGCAAAAGGGATATTGAGAAAGAAGACTATGGGTGGTTAATACAGTCACTAAGTTCACCAACCTGGAGAACAGCAGGCACAGTTCACTGAATGCATATCACGGGATGGACCAAGTTGTCACCTTACATGAATTTCCCTACTTCACCCTCTATCAACTCTACGGGGGCAGATACATCCCCACTCTCTCTTATGGAAACTCTCTATAGACGTTAAGTAAGCTATCGAAGCCAGTATGGGTAGAATATTCGGGCTCAGTCTTATTCACCTTAAATCCAGTGTCTTCCTAGGACTGTAAAATTCCATAGACTATGTAGACCTACGTAGACATCACTTTCTAACTCTTCACTCGGTCTCATTCAGTTGATGTTGGCATTTGGGACTCAGTTGGGAGTTGGTTGGTTTGGTATAGGGTTTTCCACTTGTACCTATGATCCCACCATGATCCACAACTGTCCCTACGCCTGGAGGAATCATCATGTGTTAATGTCCCAAGAGGTTTCTATTTAGGCATGTGAGATAAAAGAGAACAGGGCCTCTTCATTACCTGTGTTCTTCAGCTGCATGGAAGGGCTTCAGAAAATATCAAGACAATGGAAGGAAAAGGCAAATCAAGAAAAGGAAATGGATGAATGCCTGGGCACGGTGGCTCATACCTATAATCCCGGCACTTTGGGAGGTCCAGGTGGGCAGATCACCTGAGGTCAGGAGTTCAAGACCAGCCTGGCCAACATGGTGAAGCCCCATTTCTATTAAAAATACAAAAATTGGCCAGGTGTGGTGGCAGGCACCTGTAATCCCAGCTACTTAGGAGGCTGAGTTTGGAGAATCGCTTGAACCCAGGAGTTGGACGTTGCCGTGAGTTGAGGTCACACCATTGCACTCAAGCCTGGGTGACAGAGCGAGACTCTGTCTCAAATTTTTTTTTTTTTAAAAGGAAATTGATGAATGTAGGGCATTCTTAAGGACTCGACTCATGTGACTATCTTTGTTGGATACCTCCAAGGGTCACCCAAGCTTCCACAAAGGTAGCCATGGAGATTCTAAAGGATATTTTCTTCAGTCTCCCAGGAAGAAGATTGAAGCCATGCATGGACCTAGGATACATTTTTGACTGGTATTTTAGTAACAATATAGATTCATATTGGATACCTCAGGAAGAACAGATTTAGGTTGGCAGATATGCCTTGAATTGGTGACAGTGGAAACAATAAATTCTTAAATGCAGTTTGTTAGGTGACATCTTAGAAAAGATGAAGATTGCTTGGGGGTGTGGGTGGGGGGGTAGGGGTCACAGGATAAGATTTCACTGTGGCAATTTAGGAAATGTTTGGACTTACATGTATCCCCTATTTCTTCTCTTTTAGGATGCCTTTTGTAAACACCCAAGCTAGACTAAGGACCTTGCCCTGGTATTCACATAATACCCTCTTGTATCACTTATGTTTATTGAAATTGTTGGCTTGTATGTCACCCCCTGTCCCAACCAGAAGAAATACCTCTCAAGGTGCCATTGGTCTCTTTAGCACACAACAGTGCCCTGAAGCACAATAGGTGTCAGTCATAGGGCCATAGGGTGACCTGAACTGGGCTGGGGTAAAGACATCAGTCAAATCTAGAAGTTTTCCTCCAAAGGACTTTAGAGACAAAAGGCTACAGAAAATGCGCTCTCTGGACCACGTGAATCCTGATGATGCTATGTCCTGAAAACAAGTATTTCCAACCTCTTTGCTACTTGCTTTCACTGAACACAAGATAGGGGTCCTTACTCTTTCAGCCAACTCCTGCCCTGTGTCCCACTCTGCTCTCTTCCTTTCCAAGAGGAACCATCCCCCTGCCATCTCCTGCAGCCTAATCTATTTATTCCAGAGGAAAAGGAAACCTTTAAGACGTTGGGCTCAAAGTTTTTCATTCCGTGCCAATTCACTCTCTGCAGTTTGTAATCCAGTGAAACACCCAGGCAACCAGATGAATTTCCTTCTTTTCGACCAGTACCTTGCTCTAATAGATTATTGTACACACGAATGCTTGCAACCCCAGTCCTGCTGGGGCTTCTACTTCTTTGTTGAGAATTTGATCTTGCTTCTAAATATGGCTTTAGAATTCTAGCCATGCTATTATCAGGAAGGAGGCACAATCCACCATTATAACCAAACTGATCACAGATATTGCTGGAATATTAAAATTAATTTTCATCCCAAGTAGTTACAAACACATTGTTTCATCATTTGGAAATGGTTGTGTCTCTCCCTGGTGAACATGGCATTAATTAGTTACACATGGCTATTCCCAGCAAAGAGCACGTTCATTATAAGTTAGCTAATTTTGATTTTACAGCACGTGTGTTATTCTGAGATGTTTATAAATTGTTCGTGTGAGGATAAGCCATATAATTTTCCTTTATTTCTTTTGCTGTTTAATATAGTAGTGAGATACTGACGGTAGATATACCAAAACGCTTCAGTTGCCATGTACCGAGAACTCTTTTCAAATGAATGTGGTATAAGTGTGCAATTTTGCATTTATAACTTATGAATCTTGCTTTAGTAATTACATGAGCCCAAAGGTAACTTCGGATTTTCTTTTTCCTTCATAACTCAATACATGACCTTGGGAATAATCTTCATTTTTTCATTTCTGGATCCATAAAATGTGCTCAATGCTGTGATACCAGAGATTAAAAATTACACTATCAACAATTCCTTCAGTGCATGGTCACATAAAAGGCTTAAGACATGCAAATATATTTGATAGGTGCTAGGGAGAATTTATAGTCAATTGATTCTTGTTTGTTACTATTCACCATGTTTTCAGTTACAATATGTGTATATATAGAGATAACTCTTGTTTTGTCCAAGAAGCTCGAAGTTGACCCAATTGTAATGACTACACAAGAAATTTGATGGACATGCTTACTACTTTTCCTTAATTTTCCCTTCCCTGATGGTTTTACCTAGTCTTTTTTTTTTTTTTTTTTTACTATTTTACTATTTTACTATTTTACTATTTTATTGTGTTTATTTTTGAAACATTTCAAATGCTCTGGTTTGGAATGAATACATAATGAAAAAGTGTTTCTTTTTGTCATGAGTATAATAGATGATCTAGGCTAATCCAGATTTTCTGAAAGATTTACAAGCAACAGAGTTATAAAAAGGGCATTTAACCCTTTTCACACAGTCTTAAATGCAGCCATATTTTCTTTTGCACACCAGAAAGCCAGTCACTGGGCAGGGAAGGCACATGCCAGACTCTTTCGGGGACTGCTGAATTTAACATAGAGCAGAGTTTCCCAGCTGCAGCACGACTGACTTTGAGCCTGATAATTCTTTCGTGTTGGGGACTGTCAAACAACATCCCTAGACTCTACCCAGCAGAGGACATAGCATCTCTCCATTCCTGCTGTGACAACCAAAAATGTCTCTAGACCTTGCAAATGTCCCTTGGTCTAGGGCCACTGCCTTGGAGGCATCCCTCTCTCCCGGACTGCAGAGGTACAAGAATATTCAAGCCAGGATCCCTAAAAGAGGGACAGAGGGACTAGCATTTCAAGTCTGCCACCCAACACGCCAGTACCATTTTTTTTTTCTTTTACTGAGCATTCACACCATTCCTTGATATTCGCCTGGCAATATCAAAGTCCATGCACAGAAGGATCAAATTGGCAATGGGAAACCAATTTGCGTTGTCCCCACAGAGGGAGAAAGGAAGGCAAATGCCATTATGGAAAATGCAACTGCAACGCATCTTAACTCCAATTTCATTAATTCTTGTATGTTTGCATGTGACTCAACACCTAATGTTCTCTTTGCAGGCAAAGGTTAGAGAACCTTGAAGCTCAAGATATCCCTGGGGAGGGGAGCAAGACCACCCCAGTGATTTTTATGTGTGAAAACCTCACGTCTTTCTGTAGAGGAATTCAAGGAGCAAATGTGGTCCAACCTCCTTAATAACCAGATGTTTGCAATCATCAGAAATACATCTTTGACTGTAACCATTTCTCTGTTCTCCAGCATTCAGTCTCAAAGAGAATTTACATAACAACATGTGACATGTAGAGTGCTTAAAGGCACCAACCATGACAGGACAAATTACACTCATTTTTCAATACTCTTAGCAAGGTGCTTCACTGCAGGTGCGCGCGGGCTGCATGCTGGGGGCAGTTCTGGGGGTGGCAGAGAGGGGGGAATCAAGACCATCATGCGCTCACAAACAGCTCCGTGCCTCTGGGGGAGGCAGGGCTGGTGCACGGAGGCCCGCCCAGGAGGCTGCCCCACTTACCCGCCATAGGCCGGGATCGGGGGCGGGGGCGCTGCGGCCCTGAAGGTGTTGTACACGGTGCGGCCGCGGCCTCGCAGGTGCGCCCCTCGGTAGGCGGCCGCGGCGGTGGCTGCTGGATACGGGAAGCCTGGCACTGCGGGGCAAGAGGGGGGAGAGAGAGAGAGAGAGCGAGCACAGGCTGTCAGATGCACACCCTGCTGTGGAGGGAACCGTCCCGGGAACCCTTGTCCCTGCACAGGGTTTCAGCAGGACCCCCGCCCGCTTCCCAGAGTCAGAAGGTTAAAAAGCAGAAAGCAGCACAGTGGCCAGGGTTGGATTCCAGAGAGGATGGGTAGTTAACACAGTAGGCCATTTGCCCAGGAGAATATGGTGACTACAAACATTTGCAACGAATTCTAAATAACGGGAGAAAAGCTCGCTGCATCAGTATTTAATTAATGAATTTATTTGAGACAGGGACTGGTTCTGTCACCCAGGCTGGAGTGCAGTGGTGCGATCACGGCTCACTGTACCCTCCACTTCCAGGGCTCAAGTGATGCTCCTACCTCAGCCTCCCAAGTAGCTGGGACCATAGACAGCCAGGCGTGGTAGCATGCTCCTAATTTTTTAATGTTTTGTAGAGATGGGGGTCTCCCTAAGTTGCCCCGGCCGGTTTTGAAATCCTGGGTTCAAGCAGTCCTCCTGTCTCTACCTCCCAAAGTGCTGGGATTACATGGACCAAACATGGCCAACCCACAAACACCTTTTTAAAACGGCAGATTGCAAGATGTGTTGATGTCTTGCTAGTAATCTCTGGGGTCGAACTACATGAGTGTTTTTTATTCATAGCTTTCCCCATCCTATTTTCCACAGTTTCCTTTATGTATAGATATCATCTGTTAAAACTTCTAATTGAAGTATTCACACTGACACATGTATGTGGCATGAGTGCACAAACCACACATGCCATGAGAAACAGCTTATTACCAACATCTCATAAGCCTGCTAAACTCTTGTGCAGCATTTAAAGGCAAAGGCAACCACCATGATTACAAATATGGGAGAAGTCTCGGACCCCAAATCTTAAGAGAATGTGTGGGGCTGGGTATGGTGGCTCCTGCCTGTAATCACAGCACTTTTCAAGGCTGAGGCAGGTGGATCATGAGGTCAGGAGTTCGAATCCAGCCTGGCCAATATGGTGAAACCCCCTCTCTACTAAAAATACAAAAATTGGCCAGATGTGGTGGTGCATGCCTGTAATTCCAGCTACTTGGGAGGCTGAGGCAGGATAATTGCTTGAACCTGGGAGGTGGAGGTTGCAGTGAGCTGAGATGGCACCACTGCATTGCAGCCTGGGTGACAGAGCAAGACTCTGTCTCAAATAAGAAGAATGTGGGCAGGGGTATCTTCCCTTGGGTAGAATTCTCTGAGCAGGGATATCTTCCCTTGGATAGAATTCTCTGAGCAGGATGAGGAGGCGAGGAGGAGTTAGGAAGGGGAATTAAGCCTGATGATTACCCCAGACCCCTGATAACTAATGCTGTCTCCTCTATATGGGATGCTCTTCCTCCCATCTCATGCAAATCGTAACTCATCAGGGCCGATGAGGCCAGGAAACCACTTTTGCCTTTAAGTTCAGTTGGCTTCTCTGACCCTCCCAGTGCTCTAACCTTTCTAACCACACTTGTCCCATCTCACTAAGCAGCAAGCTGTGTTTCCCAAAGTGTGCACGGAGGATACCTGATGATTACCTCAGCCCCAGGATAACCAATGCTGTTTCCTCTATCTGGGATACCCTTCCTCCCATCCCATGCAAATCCTAACTCACCAGGGCCCATAGAGCCAGCAAACCACTTTTGCCTTCAAGCTCAGTTCACTTCTCTAACCCTCCCAGTGCTCTTGCCATACTGACTACGCTTGTCCCATCTCACTAAGCAGCAGGTAACGTTTCCCAAACTGCGTCCACGGAGAATGTTTTCCTGAAAAAATGCATTTGGGAAGTCCCTGTCCCAGGAGAGCCACAGTAAACGCTCAGAAAAGGCCCACCATGAAGGAAGCACTCTTAGTTAACCCAGCACAACCAAACTCCTTTTCCAGGCTTTCTGCAGAGAAGCAAACCTCTCACTGGGCAGGGGTTGCAGTTCATTTCATGTTAAAGTTGTCTCCACCCTCTATCCAAACTGTCAAGAAGAGCTTCTCCCCTTCCCACCATCAGCTTCAGGAATAGAAGCGTTCCACCTTATGTCTTCCCATCGTTCAGAGTCCTTGCCATGCACACTGATGCATGGACCCAGGTGAGGGTTGCAGAAGGAGCAAAAAGGCAAAAGAATTGGAAGGTAAAAAATGCATGAGAAGCCTCACTGGAGGCCCCGGCTACTACCGAGGAGGTTGGACAGGCTGGCCATGCAGTGCACTTACAATTCTAAGAATTATACCTACGCCTATAGATAGGATATGTTTGTACCTACATGGTGGGTGAAGGGAGTGGGTGGGGTTCTCCACAGAAGTCATTCTGAATTACTCTTGTAATTATAAGGACCCAAATAAAATCCCTGAACCTGACCAAAGTGAAGACCAACAGGCTATTTATTATCTGGAATTCTGTGTGCTTTTAAAGGTACAACAGCCGTCCTGTTCTATGGATTCTACCACATCTTTCTCTCACAATGTGGGTGAAATACGAGGATTATAGAACCCAGAATGATTCTGTCTTTCTATTTGTATCTGAGAAGACCATAAAGGTTATTTTTAAACTTTTTATTCTTGCTAAAGACAGATTATGCCATTTTATTTAACTTTTTTTTGCCAGCTCCTAGCACCTGAGTTTCCTGGATCGCATGGCAACTGGTATGCTTGAAACTGCAGAGAGATATGGGGTCTTAATGGGGAATGTGAGTAAATCCTAATATCATAAAAGCCCAGAAGTAATGAGAGATGAGACACTTGCTTCAGGACTGGGGAGAAAATGAGTGTGGGAATGGCTTTGACTCCAAATCTATCTTGCCACAGTTCAACTATTAAGTTTTCAGAGGAACACCCTGGATTTTGAAATAAAGAAAATGAAGAATACACAATCTGGCAGAGCAGCTGGCTGCCTGTGTGAGGAAACACGGTAATTATGCTGACCCATTCATTATCACTGGCTATGGAGCCGAATGAGCCAGACAAGCTCCCTCTCAGCCACAAGCAGGTTTTACAATAATTCTTGGAAGATTTAGATGTTGAGATATAACATGAAACAGAAGCTTGGCAAGCGAGACAGGGGGAGCACGTGCTGTTAAGAGCATGGAGCCAGGATTCCATTTTGTACCCTCTTTGTTACAGGGAGAAAATGGATTTCCTGATGCAGGATATTTACAAGTCTTCCTAGGAGGTTCTTTGGGTTCCCCCAAGCAGGGCACATTAGGGGACTTCTTACTTTGTGAAAGGAACACAGGAAGGGACTGCAAAGCACTTCCTCGCTTAAATAGTGCCTTCCTGAAAGGCCAAGTACCCTTGGTAAAACAAAAGGGTTCCACAGGTCATGCTTTGGGCCAGACGCTTCACGGAGAAAGGGCTGGAGAATTCAAGTGTACTGGGTGGATGGTATTTTCAGTCGTCTCTTTCTTGGTAATCTAGGGCTGGCCAAGGGGCCTTTTGGTGAAATCTCTAGTTAGAAAAACGCTCATCGATCACATTGCCTTTCTTTAAGTTCCTTCCTTCCTTCCTTATACTTGATCCTTTCTTTTTTATTCCTTCCTTTATCCTCCCCTCCCTCTTTTCTTCCTTCCTTTTGTCTTCCTTGCTTCCTGTCCTTCCCTCCCTCTTTACTCTTTCTTTTGTCTTCCCTCCTTCCTGTCCTTCCCTCCTCCTCTTCCTTTTTCTCCTTCCTCCTCTTTCCCCTCCCTCTTTCTTCCTCTCCTCTCTCTTCATTTATTAATTCCTGCCTTCATTACAATCCTTTCTTTCACTCTTTTTTGGAATTTTTTTCTAAAGAGGGCTGTCCTGTTCCTCCCCTGGTTCATGTAAAAATCATTAGCTTGGATCAGAAATG